ATGTATCAGTAGTTAGTTCCTTACTGAGTAGTAAGGATGGAGGCACCACCATCCTTACTGTCCATCTACCAGATCCTGGATACTTGGGTTGTTTCCAGCTTTTGGTGATTATGAATAAAGTTGTCAAAACATTTGCATACAGGTTTTGTGTGGACACAATGTCTTCATTTCTCTTGGGGAGAACCTAGAAGTGGGATTGCTGAATTGTATGGTAGCTCTGTAAGACACGGCTAAGCTGTTTTCCCAAGTGGCTTTATTATTTTGCAGTCTCACCAAAAGTGCACGAGAGTTCCAGTTGCTGTGTATCCTTACCAGCCTTCGGTATTGTTGGACCACACTCCCCCCTTTTTAAAATTTGGGCCATTTTAATAGATGAATGTTCTTTTTAAGAGATAAATAATTATTTTAAAAATCTTTTATTCTTAACATCGTTATCAGTGGGACCAATAAATACCAACAGGTCATTCACTGTTTTTGAAACAAGACAATGGGAACTTACCACTAGAAGGATTTGAAGCTTTCTATGAACACTTTAGGGATAAGAGAGTCCAGAATAAATATGTACAGTCCTCCCTTGTTATTTGCAGTCTCCGTATCCACAGATTCATCCAACCATAGGTTGACTGTGTAAGATATCTTTGTTCCCCCTGTGAGACTGCTGATTAACTAGAAGTGTTAAGTCTGGTATGAAGCAGAAATCTCCAAGCGTTAATGCTTCCCAAAGGCTATTCAGCTCTCCTTCAGCTTCATCATCTTCCATTTAGGCTTTGTCTAGCCAGTTGACAAGGTTCCTTTCAAAAGTTCTGAGTATGCACTTGTTCTTTTAGCTATTCTTACTGTTCATTCATCCTAGGCTATACAGAGTGTGGGTGTAAGGAAATGTGCCTGGTTTGTCTCTCTTGCTGTCGTACATACATGCTGACATGGCAAGAATAAGGTTTCTTACCAACCTGCTGCTCAGATTATATTTTTTCCCTTTTGATCGCCATATAACATTGCAGATTCCTACCAAATCTGCTGTTCTCTTCCTAGGAAGATTATGTTCTAATGGGTCAATGATAGTTTAGTTTCCTGGAGGGAAGATGGGTTTTCTACTCTTCCATCTGAGCCCTCCTGAGGAACAGCTCAGATGACTGACCAGGGTTAAAGCTGGAGTCTGCAACTACAGAACATACTTTTCCACTGGTACAAAACTACCTGTTTGGCCAAAGTTTTAAACATACAAACTTAAGAGGATGCTTGTTTCCTAACTAGCTGAGCTGAGTGGCCTGATGCTCTTTTATCATGCCTATTTTCAGTTATAATTCCTTGCCTTTATGTCTATACAGCCATACCCTAACTTATAAATAATAGTTCTTAGCCATTTTCAGAATAAGTTCACATAGGTTATCTCATTAAAATCATGTTTCATACATATAAGCACCACCCAAAGCCATGCCCCAGAGAGTCATTTCCCAGACAGCAGGAAGAGTTTTGTCAAGTGCCATATCCCCCTTTCACTTCTACTTGGTAAGAATTGCTATCTGTTCCACATGTCAGGGGCTAGCAGAAAGCAAAAAAGAAGAGGCATTGGTAGGAGATGTTCTGGGACGAAGTAATTCCCAAGGGAATAGTTCACGTGGATCAGTGGCTAATAATGGAGATGATAATGGAGGTTCCCAGGGAATCCCACAGTCTTAAGAATGGAGTCATTGCCCCACTGCCCTGTGCTTCCCCCTTTTAGATTCCTCTTACAAGACAGCTCTAGCAGTTAAGGTAGCAACTGTGTATCCCTGATACCTCCCTACCTACCCTCTTCTCACTAGTGGGTGCACCGTCCCACAAAAAGGCTTTTGTAAGTGGCCAATTCACAGCGGTCTATTCAACCTAATTTTAATATCCAACACCTATGTTTCTGACACCTTACTGAACACTAGTGATAAAGCCATGAACAAGAGAGAAACAATCCTTTGCCCTCATGGAGCTTCTACCCTGATACCTAATTTGACAGTGCCGTACATTTATTTGCAACAATAGTTTCTTCCTTTAAAAATTTGTGAAAAAAATTTTTTACTGAATTGTTGGTTTTATAGGTTTATGAGTTGTTTAGTGAAAAAAATATGTCCCAAGTTCTAATAAACCAACTCACAAATTTAATATAATAACGTTTTACCAAAAAGTTCTGTGTAGTTTTCAGTATTTCCATATGTACAAAGGATTTTAGTGACTTAGACTTACACTTACTTAATGATGAGAAAAGGACTAGAATTCAGGAGAGTTGACCCCTTTTTTACACACAAAGCAATTTTATAGAATACAGCCTGTTTGTAAGTTAGGACTTCCTGTTCAGTTAATTTACAATCATTCAGAAGCTAAAAGAATCGAGTCATATCCAGGCACCTTGCTTTTTTCTCTTCTGTGGTCTCTTTTCACTACTCATTTGCTTAAGCATTTAGTATAAAACATTTATAGAATGCCTGTTGTGCCTAAGACATTTATTGTAACAGGCAGAAGTAAGGGGAAAATGTGAAACTAGTCAGGTTAGCTGTGTGCTTTTTCGTGCCTTTGAAAAAATATTTTAGTAAGAAGGGAAATTTGTTATAAGCAGTTAGCTAAATTGAGGGTTTCTCTGGGCAGACGAGTGAACATATCAAGACTGTCAAGAGAATAAGCAACTTTCACTATCTCTTATTGAGTCGTACAACTTAAGCTTACTTTCCTCATTTCTCACTGTGATTCCCAGTTTTACAGAGATTGCTAATATTTTTTTTTAATCTTTCAAATAGTACTAACCAGCGGGCAAGTATTTATGTGTACCAGGCCCTGTGAAATATATAAAGGAAGTGTGAAGCACTCTGCCTACCCTCACGTGGCTTATAATGCTATTGGGGAGGAAAGACTCACAAGAGAAACGCTAGCAGGACAAGCCAAGAGTAAAACTGCCTGATAGCAATAGCTCCTGGGTGCAGGTGTCAAATGAGAGCAGATAGCACTGTATGCTGGAGTCATCAGGAAGACTTCCTAGACTTCACAAGATTTTGTTATTGCCTGCTTCAGTTTATTCCAAAACAACAGCCAACAACCTTTCTTCCCCCAGCTTTATTGACACATAACTGACGTATAACATGGTGTAAGTTTAAGGTGTACCATGTGATGATTTGCTATACACATGTATTGTGAGATGTTTACCACAATAAGGTTAGTTAACACATCCTCACCTCACATGATTACCATCTTGTTTTTGTCGCTGCTGTCGTGATGAGAACATTTAAAACCTACTGACATAGCAACTTTCAAGTATACAGTATGTACAGTATTGTTCATTATAGTCGCCATGCTGTACATCAGATCCCATATCGTGACACTTCTCGGCTGACTCAGGAAGGCCTCCCTCCTGATACATAACATGCTCTACAAGGCCCACGTGATCTGCACGTCTTCTACCACCACCCCCATCTCTCCACTCCCATTCTCTGTTACTGTCCCCTTCCTGATTCTGCTGCAGCCAGATTGACCTCCTTGCTGGTCCTCAAAAATGCCTGGCACTTAGCTGCTTTGGGGCCTTCATACTTCGAAGTCTTATCTTCCTGGAACACTTTCTCCTAGATATCTACATGGCTCTCTTCTCATCACATAATAACACTGCTGCCTCCCTGGAAAACCCTGTTTTGAATTGTACTCTCCCCACTTCTGCCTATTCCATGCACTGCATCATTTCTCTCCTTAGTATTTTTACCATCTAACATATTTACTTATTTATTGGTTTATGTTCTGTCTCTCCCAAGTAGAATGTTAGCTCCAGAAGGACGAGGAATTTTTCCTTTTTTTTCACTGCTGTTTTCCTAATATTAGAATAGTTCCTGGAATATATTGGATACACGAAAAGGTACTTTTTGAATGAATGAATGTAATAGAAAGAATAAGACAATGAGAAAGGCATTCTAGTTAAGGAAGATAGAATGAGCAAAGGTATGTAAGGAGAAATAGGAGTTGTTGGGAAGCAGAAGAGGTGGGCCTAACTGTAACAGATAGATGTTTCTTGTTTGAGGAGAGTTGAAAATAAAGTTAGATAAGTAAGGTGGAACCCAAGACATAAGGCAAGCAGACATTAACAACCAAGCAAAGGAGTTTGGGTTTGAAGTCAACATAAACAGTAGGGGTATTTCAGGTTTCTAAGAAGAGTGATCTAATAAATGAGGTAATATCAGTTGAGAATTGGTATGAAGGTAGACTGAAAGGGAGAGAGACTGGATGCAAGAAAACCAATTCTTATTATTAGAAAACCATCAATTATTGCAGTAATCCAAGCAAGAGGCCTACAAAGAGGGCAGTTGTGACAAGAAAGGAAGTGAGGAAGACAGGTCAAATCTCTGAGAAAGCCTACAAAAGAAAAAATCAGAAGGACTTGGTAACCGTGCTAAAGAAGAATAAAGGAGAGTCAGGATAACACTAAGGTTTAAGGCTGGGATAAGTGAGGATATTAGAACAGGAATCAGCTAGACAATTCTAGGATCTGCAAGGGTGGCTAAAATATACTCCTTCTGTGTTCCTCCAACTCTCTATCATTCCCTAAGGAAATAATGCTGAAGACTTAATGTTTTTCACTTCTATCTTGTCTTTAAAATTAGCGTCACAGACGTTAGGCTCAAATGATCGCGCTTGTGTGGACTTCTGCTATATCCATTGACAATGTTTATCTAGTTTGGTGGGTCAGAAGTGAGAAATCATTGCTATGTGAAATTGAAATGTTTTATGTAATTCTTGCTAGTAAAATTTAAAATTATTTGTCACTCAATTTTCCCTTCTCTCCTTTATCTTCAGCTGTAATTTTAAAATTCTTATTTCTTATTTACTTTATTGTAGTATAATCCTAAAATATTTTCTAATCTCCACATACTGTATTTTATTTAATTAACTCATGTTTTTTTCTATATAGAATTAATACCTCAAACTTCAATTTCAGGACACCCCAAACAGAATGAAAGGGTTGATTTCACCTTTTAAATTTTTCTCTATTTCAGATTTGGTGTGAAGAAGAAGCCAATTTACATTAATGTCATAAGGGATCCTATTGAGAGGCTAGTTTCTTACTATTACTTTCTGAGATTTGGAGATGATTATAGACCAGGGTTAAGAAGACGAAAACAAGGGGACAAAAAGGTAATATTTTAGTTTTAGAATTTTTATAAAGATAATTGTTTATGAAATGCAATAAACAGTGAATGCTTTTAAAATTTATTAATGATTATAAATGTATTCCTTGCTTATTGTGGAAAATTTCAAAAGAACCCAAAAGTATGAAGAAGTAACAATAAAACTACTTTGTAGTTGATATTTTGGAGTATATATAATATTTTGTCCTTTTAAAAAATATTTGACTTGTGTTCTGGAGCTGAATATTTGTTTTATTATAGCCCTATTAATAATTTTCTATGAGATCACTATAATAATTCATTAATATGATATATTTGTGTACATAGTTTGGTTCTCTTAATCTTGATGATGGCAGTTTACGTTGATTTTTGATCATCTGTTTAGGGACACTATTTTGTTAAAGCAGCTTATTTTTTCAGGCAAGATGAGAATAATAGCTTAACAGGGTTCTTACTTAGCAGATTCAGATTTGAGTTGTCTTCTATTTAAGTGCGTCCTCCAGAGTAGCCCCAGACTTGTTTTTCTAAGAAACCAAACTGTGTCAGTTTTCTGGTGGAATACCTTTACGGGGACCTCATTGCTCACAGGATTGCCCAAGGCACAGGAGACGCAGTCTGACATAGCCTGAGACCTCCTTCTCCTGCCTCGTTTTCGCCTCAGGCACCCAGTGCATCACTGGGTGCCTTACCTGAAATGTCACCGTCCTCCAGACTTATTACTTCATACTTTTTGCACACGTGTTGCTCCCTATGTTTACAATGTCTCTCCTTCAATCTGAAAACTCTTTGTTCACCTTTAAGATCCAGCTCAAATGTTACCTCTTTCATAAAGTCTTTTCTGGCAGTGAGCCGTGTCCCTTTCAAAGTTCCCAGAGCACTCCATTCAAATCGCTATTTTTTAAATATTTATTTTGTGGTACTTGAATTATTTGTTTACATATATGTCTTCTCCAAAAGGCTGTGAACGTCCTGAAGCAGGCGCTGTATTTCCTTCACCTTTGTCTCCTCCATATCTAGTACAAGTACGGTGCCTAGTTCATCTGTAAGCGTTCAGCAAATGGCTCAGTGAGGGAATTCTGCACCTTTTAAACCTAAAGTGTTGTGTAATGGTGATGCTAGATACTTGCTGTATTATAGTAATTAACACCCAAATATTAATTTTTTTCTAAGTTGGATGTGCCCTCTGTCACATGAGAAGGCAATGGTTCTTTTGTTTTATTTACCTGTTTATGTTTTCTAGAAATTGCTATTTCTTTCCTTAGTCTCAAGGCTTTAGACAGAAGGTACTGATCCAAACAGTACCCTTTTTCAGCGTCCACTCATCTCTTAGTATTATATAATCTTCTAGAAAAAATATATATAATTATATTATTATGGAGAGTCTGTAAAATTTTGTAAAATCTGTAATATGACCCTTTTGTGACCTAGTACTTTAAAATTTATTGTTAGTTATTTCTAAATTCACTTCAATGCTAACTACTTTCTTTTTTAATTTTAGCCCTATAACTTATACTAGCTCTTACTCAGTAATTGTTAGTATCCATCTCCCTCCTTCGACTAAAGGAATGTTAGTGTTGGTAAGGAAAAGATTCACAGTCACGTAGGTTCCTACATCTGTCATGTCACGTCAGCCCTGGATACCGTGGTTTTGTGGTTGCTATCCTATGTAGTTTAGGGAATTAGGTAACAATAATACTTAATATAACAACAATAATAGCTCACATCTATTGAGTGTTTCTTGTTTATCAAGCTCTGTTTTAAGTCACATATTATATTATATTGAGTGTTTCTTGTTTATCAAGCTCTGTTATAAGTCACATTTAAGTGTTAACTCATATGTGAGTTAACACTCACATCTATTGAGTGTTTCTTGTTTATCAAGCTCTGTTTTAAGTCACATATTATCAAGCTCTGTTTTAAGTCACATATTATCAAGCTCTGTTTTAAGTCACATATTCAGGTGGCCTGTACAACAATTTTATGGGATAGTTGCTGTTGTTGTGTCCATTTTACAGATAAGGAAACTGGGGCACAGAAAGGTTAAGTACCTTGCCCAGTGTTATACTACCAGTAAATGGTGGTGCAGGAATTTAAACCCAAGCACTCCAATTCCAGAGCTCACAGTCTTAACCTCTCTATACCCTTGAAAAAGGAGGGATGGAAAGCAACATGTCACTCGCTATTTTTGTGTGAGAGATGTTCCAAAGTTGTGTATTCAATGCTCACAGAAAAACCTAGGCAGATATTTTAACGTAGTCTCCCTTTCATCTTTGAAAGCTTTAGGTAGGTATGCCCTCTCCAGCCTGGAGATTTAACCATTCTTCACCCTAATGATGATAGGTCTTGGTTTGTTTTTTTTATGTCATTATAAAATACATATTAATACACCTGTTTATTTAGATGTAATATTAGTAACATCAGCAAAATACTATTGTATTACCTTAATTCTCACGGGGACAGGGCCATCTTCAAATGCTTTATCAAAGTAAAGAATTACTTTGTTTTGTGATAGGCAAAATAGACCTTTTCAGTCTTGAAACATATTGAAACACACGTTTTTAATAATTTGGTTTGTTTCTCATGAAATAAATGTTGGTAACATTCTGGCACCTAATGAATTAAATAAAGTTGTTATATTGCAAATAATTCCTTAATATCTTTAACTGGCAAGAGTTTTCTTTAATAAACTCATATCTGTAAAGTTGGTAAGACTTCCTGGCATATAGCACTTTGGAAGATGGCAGGGTATTTGAAGATAACGGGGATTAAAAAGTGGCTATGATGGCAAAGGCTAAGGCTGGAAATACCTTGCAATGGCTTCATTTCCAATTTCTGGTTACACTGTCAATAATTTCAAAGCCATTTTAGTCATATGTATATGCCTGTGATAGCTTTCAGTTGATCTTGTAAGGAACATACGATTTGTTTTATTTGGGAGATTTCAAATACTCTGTTTTTCAAACTTTATACCTAGAGTTTTGCATAATTTAATCTCTGTGCCAATACCTGGAAAATAGGGATATTTAGTAATCCAAAGGTCAGCATTCAAGAACTACAATATATAAATCAGTGGTTCTCAAACTTTTTAGTCTCAGAACTCCTTTTACTCTTTTTATTGAGGACCGCCAAGGAGCTTTTATCTATGTGGGTTATATCTATTTCTGTTCATATTTACCAATATCAGTAAATTTGCCAATTGACTGAGAAACTTTTAAAATAGTAACTAATTTAATAGTAACAGTAGGAGACCATAATACGGTAACATAAATAATATATTTTAATGCAAATAACCATTTTCAGAAAAAGGTATAAATAGTGGCATTTTACATTTTTGCAAATTTTGAAAACACCTGATTTAATCTAATATAGACAGCTGGATTTTCATATCTGCTGCTGAATCAGTCTATTTAATACATTCTTTTGGTGAAGTGTATGAAGAAAATTCAGCTTTACACAGATATGTAACTAGAAAAGGCAGTATTTTAATAGCCTTTTCAGAAAATTGTGGAAATTCTTCTTTAATATTACACTAAAACTTAACTAGTAGTAGTTTCTTAAAGTTATTGAAGTGTGGAATCTGAAACCATAGCAGTTAGCCTTTTATGTTCTGCTGCATTAAAATCCACTGATGTATTTTATACTTTGAATGGAGTTTTTAACCAAGTATAATTTTTTAACCTCATGTATTGGTCATTTGGAACACATTAGTTCACTGAGTTATGTGGATCTTCCAAGTGTTGGCACATTTTATTATACAATATCAAAAATTCACATTCGTTAATGTCACCACTTATCTCATCAGAAAAGTCTTTAAGTATTGGGAAACTGTCAGGCTTATGGTGACAGATGAAGTAAAAATAAATTTAAATTTTTATATTTTTTAGTTTGAAAGCTTAGCTTTTATCACTGGCACCCACAGGATTTCTCCACCTTGACACCATTGTTGCTTTTGGCCAGAGAATTCCTTGTTGTGAGGGCTGTCTTACACACTGTAGGACGTTTAGCAGCATCTCTGACCTCTACCTAGTAGCATCTCCCCTACACCCTCCAGGTGTGAGAACGAAGAAGGTCTCCAAACATTGCCAGATGCCACCTGGGGGTCAAAACAGCGCCAGTTGAGAACCGCTGGGCTACTAAGACTGTCAGTTGTTTTCTTTCAAGTGGCAGACCCACTTTGTTCATTTTGAGAAAACATTAACCAAATACCCAAGTTTGAATAGTTTGTCTCTCAGGCCTTCTTTCAGCATAGGCCTTCTTACAGCTTCCAAATAACTACACCTATAATTCTCATCACTCACATTTTCTAAATATGTAAATATTTATCTTATGAATATTTCAGTTTTGTACTATCCTATAGATTATTAATCATTTTTATTAATTATTGTTTTATTAGCAGAACACCAAGGGGGTTATACTTATGGAAAGAGTGTATAGTTACATGCTATAAATAATAATCTAAAGGAGGATCAGTTTTTGCTTAAGAAGTACTCATTGATCTCAGAGATCACAATTCCTACCCCAATTTGCTTTTCGTATTTCTTACTCTAAATTAACTAGACTTACTGACAGCTGTAGGAATTATAATGAATTCAGAATATTATACCTAAAAATATGTATTAGTTTATAAAAGATATTAATGAGGTTAGAAGAATTCCATGCTTAGCCACTACCTGATCCTACTACTGGCTTACAAAATACTGCTTCTGTAGTCCTTAGCAGTTCATAATCCCCTGACTGTGGTTTGCTTATTGAACATGGATTTTACACAAAAGCATTTGAGAACTTATTACTGTTTGCTTAGAAAGTGTTTTATATGTACAATGCACCACAGGAGGGCTTCCCTGGAGGTGCAGTGGTTGAGAGTCCGCCTGCCGATGCAGGGGACACGGATTTGTGCCCCGGTCCAGGAAGATCCCACATGCCGCAGAGCGGCTGGGCCCGTGGGCCATGGCCGCTGAGCCTGTGCGTCCAGAGCCTGTGCTCCGCAGCGGGAGAGGCCACAACGGT